CTCTTCTCTCTCTCTCTCTCTCTCTCTCTCTATATATATATATATATATATATATATGGTGATACATATATGGGTAGTTCTATGTGTTGTGTGTATGTCATATGGGGTTTGTGGGGTGGGCTGGGGTTGGGGGGTCACGAGGAAGAGGCTTTAAGTAGTGTCGCTACTGCATTAGCGTGCATGTCTTCCGACAGATAAAGTTATTTGAAGAGGAGGCATAGGGTGTAAAGCAATGTACTAAAACTTCTTATGTGAGTGGTGATGAGCCAACTCGACGAGCCGATCCTTGAGCGAATTGCTCAACTGTTCAAGAAATCGAAAGAGAAGATGGTCGAGATTGACAGTGTGTTTATTGTTTGCTCGTATTGTAATTACAGGTGTAAAAATATATCGAACCATAAAAAATTCATCCAACTTTAACACAACACGACACGTTAAGAGACCAAATCAAACAAAAACTATATTTCTCTTATTTTTAGGAAATTTTAAAACTTCAAACCAATAAAAAAAGAAAAAAAAAAGGGGAGGATGTTTTCTTTAATTATCTTTTCCCCTTTTCAATACAGAGCTATATCTGGTTCTCTCTCCTCATGGATGAAGAGTTCCATTGAAATTGTTTCGCGCGGGTTAGTCGCTAACAATTAAAAGGGATTAAACGATTGTGTAAGGGACAAACCTCTTGAAACAAAGTCTCAAAAAGAGGTGTTCTTTTATTGACGATGACTTTATAATTGAAAATTAAAACATAATGCTTCCAAGGGGCGCAAACACACGAGTTATTGAAAAAAAGTATTTAAGTCTAAACTAAGGAAATTAAAATTACATGTTCTCTGTTCGAGAGTTTTTGATTCGGTCATTTGCTCTATGTCTTTTCTCCCTTTTATACTCCATGGATGATCTCTTTGTGATCAACCGCCTAAAAACTACTTGATCGTTCTACAACTGTTAACTTTCCTCGTAATGGTCAGCTTGTCATAAAACTGCCTTTTTTAACTGCTGCCATTACTCTTCGTCGTTCAACCGTTTTCGATTGAATTCCTTGAATCGTGGAACGTGATAGGGCTGCTTTAATAACTGCTTTGATAACTGCACTTCTTGATAACCACAACGCTTTATGTTTGCTAAAACCTTGGGCGACTTGAAAGTTTGGGCGAGAATAGAGTAATAGCTCTGGGCGACTGCATGGTACTCCATTCGCTCAGATTCTGGACGACTTACAAATTTGGGCGATGGCGTTACCGCGTTTTTGGGCCTCCCTATTTGGGCCTTCATCTTGTATTGTTTGATTAGGTTTCGTTCTTTGGGCTATCTGATTTGGGGATCCTCCAATTGGGCTTCATTTCTTGGGCCGTTCGATTTGAGCTGAATTTTTATGTGTCAACAGAAACATTACCTGTCATCTCCCTACATTTTGTGCATTCTAGAGATGCTCATTACTCATCGAGAGTAGACTACTACCAAAATACGTAACGACTTTTGCTTTTCGTATCTCATTGAGCTCAAGAAAATCAATTTCTTAGCCTGGCAAATCTGAATTATACTTAACTAATAAAAAGAAAAGAAATAGGAGTAATGCTATATGTAAAAAGTTGGTTGATAAAGTAATATTTATACCAATCATTTCAAAAACATATTTTTAAATCGTTGGAAATCAATGACTTGGATTTTGCCGACACTTACTTTGTCTACCAAATTTATACACACATTTTGTACAAATAGCATAATACAAGTAGCAGAAAGACTGCTAGAAAATCAGATGTCATTTCTGGCAGAAGGTTTGTCTCCTGGTGTTTTGAATCGAATTTTTTGTTATGTCAGCAACTTGGTCCCCATGTGCTGCAATGAACCCACCTCTTTCTGTTTGGCTCCAAATCAAAATTTCTACTTCTTTTTCTACTCAACAATCCAACAAAAATAAAATCAAATCCCAAGGTTGCTGCAATTTTACTCCATATTTCTCGAACCTCTGGTTATTACTGCAGAGGAAAGGCAAGAGAACGATGAAATTTAGAGATTTTAAATAGAGACAATGTATCTATATAATAGTCAGTTGTTATATAACTGCTTCTACTAGATGCACGCACGAATTAAAAACAGTGGCAATAATAGAGAAACAGCACTCAGCATCATATTTTCTCAGAAATGAGGTTTGATTTCAATATGTTACATGACCATAAATAACTGAAATAAAGCACAACTACAGGTGAATTCCTCTGAATTTGAAACTTCGTCAAATATGTCCTGAAGACCAAACATAGATGCGCATCGAAATTTACAGCATCCAGAACTTACAGCATCTTCAATGTAAACCAAATGGATAAAGATAAAGACTCATTCTTCAAGAGATAGCTTACCCATATTGATGCAGCATTTACACACTATATGCAAGGAGGGAAGAATGTTTGTCTCACATAGCCGCCAACCATTGCCTACATAAACAGAAGCTGCAATGGGTTTCATAGGATCCTCGTGATTGGGTACCTACATGAACAAAAGCTTCTCTGTTAGAAGAGTTGAAATAAATGCTCACTCAATTTTCAACGAGGCATCATTTTAGTCGTCAACTTTAATTATTGTTCCAATTGCATCACCAAATGATCTTACATGAGTAACACTAATGAATTGTCCTATGTGGCCATCGTATATTCGGTCTACCACGTTGGATTACCAGTATAAGCTTAATAAATTGCACGTGTGTAGAATATGCATGTGCCAAACAGCATCCAGCAAGTATAATAATATATGCTATAACGCGATTAGACAGGGATGTTCAATATTTGTTTGTTGCAAGAGTTAAATATATCTGTCATAAACACGATTAGAAAGGAAAGCTTGACACATGTTGCATTGTGCTGACAAGCGTCCAAGGCCAGAACCCATTGCAGATTCATAGCATTTCTTTGACATCTCAAAGCTTCTAATTCCATTCAAGTCTTTTTCAAACTCCTTCAGGGCCTTGGGGTGGGTGGGTGAGAATGAAATTCTACTTATGCATTAAATAAATCCGGATACAGTAGGGAGAAAGACTCATAACCTTACCTTGATAAATACAAAACGAGGACATTCTTGTTTATTACCTCCCTTTCAAGTTTTAAGGTTCATTTTTACTTTTCTGTTCATTCGTTTGTAGGAAAGAAAATGTGATATTTATACCATAAAGAGAAGCTAAATTGATCATGATTTCGGTAACTAGTGCACTTTATGTTAATTTTCAACTATATGAGATCCATCACGAGGATCTCATCAACTGATTCTATCTCTCTATGTATTTTATTTCTCCCTCAGATGCGTGAGAATTAAAGCTTCTTTTATATAACTATTCAGTCACTAAATGGCAAAGCTCTATGAATGTACTAGAACAGGAAAAAAAATTACACATGTATCTGTAACAAGAAGCAACAAGAGAAAAGTCTAAACATTCAGCAAGTTCTCTTTCTGCTTTTCCTTTACTTTAAACAGCTTAATCATTGCCTCTATATATATGACAAAGTATTACAGTTCAGCAATCTAAGCCTCATTACCAATAACTTGGGATTTTTTGATAACTTTATTTGCTAAATCTTTTGCTACAATATTAAACTATGTCAAGTGTGTTCCACCTCTCCCTCCAATAACCTTTTCCATTGAGGATGCATAATTGTTTTGAAAGGGAACATTTTTATGTCCATACAAGACATGCCCCAATATCTAGGTCGTCTTTGCCTCGCCATATCCTCCACTAGTGTCACCGTCAGTGGTCCTTCATTTCTTGTAAGGTATATTCTTAATAAATATATATTCATCTTGTGGGCCTTTTGTCTTTTAACAATACTAAGAATCCCCAGAGTACTAACTGTACCATCCAAGTTGCTCTGATCCTATGCTTACATTCCCATCAAGTATTTCTTATTGTTAATGATAGAGTCTAAGTAACTAATATAAACCCATTCAAGACAACATGATCTTCTATTGTAAATCGCCATGATCCTCCTTTGAACAGCTAATAGAGTTTTTACTAGCTTATATATCTTCCCCTTAAAATAAAGTTTCTGCAGCTAGAATTAAGGTTAAAAGAAAGTTATTCATCCTAATAGCTTTCAAAACCAGCGGGTTTCTTTGTCTATATACCAGTATGACCTAAACCATTCAGATTACCAGGGAGCTTAACAAAAATGAACAAGAAAATTAACCGACATAAATGGATATTACGCAAAAAAAAAAACATTGGAATAACCGGCAGTAGCTAATTAACCTATCTAGAACACACAAAAACTATGTTTATCAAGGAAACCTTCTATTAAAAAAAAATGGCTAAGATGCTGAGACTGTGAGTTTCATATATTCAGAGATCACATTTCTTATTTGAAATGATGAGAGAGAGAGAGAGAGAGAGAAAGAGAGAGGGAGAAGAGAGAGACAAATGAGAAGGTTATGAAAGCAGATGGAAAGATTATCTCTATTTTATGTAAGTTATACCAATCTTTTTTCTTC